ATAACATCATATATCCGCTGCAATAATAAAATCTAAAAAAACTCTTAGAATTTGAAGGCAAGAACATGTGTTATTTAAAACATACAGATGACGTAAACTGAACACTGCACTGTGTACACTACCATCCAAGACAAATTATTTGATATTAAATTTGACACTAACCTTTGATTTATTATGAAAATGTTAGTGGAAGTCTTCTTCTTATTTATTATGATACTTGAAAAAAGATAAATAATTTAAGTTTGCTTATTTTTGTAAATAATTAATTTTATTTAACGGGCGTTTAAACGTGGACACTTAATGTTTCGAAACGCAAATCCTACATCTAGGATTGAAAAAAAAAGAAGCAGAATGTTGCCAGAAACGCGGAACTGATCATTAAACGAAGAAAGGGGAAATACACTTTACTTTACCAGATGACACGCATTAATCGTGGGGGGCCGTGAATTGAAATAGATTTAAACAAACGCGCGTTCGAGCAAAAATAATTCATTCGTTATTTCAAAATCAAACAGTTATATTCTTTATAGAAACCTTTGTTTCTCATTTAATCTTAATCTTAATTAATAATTTATATTTTTTTTAAATAGTTTTAATGATTTCTTAATGTTATACAAACATATTACTTTGCCTTTTGTCTATCTCAATTAATATACATACAGCAATCAGTACCTCGCATAGTCCGGCTTCGATCAGTCTTCGATCTTTTAATTGAGCAAAATAATAATAAAATATGAAACTGTCCAGGATATTGGTAGAATCGATTACCCGGATTATACGAGGTATTGCTGTAGTTGAGTAACATTAACTAAATAAAATAATAGAAACAGTATATTTCAATGATTTCTTAATGTCAACAACAACAATAATATCTTTATGCAATTTGTATTTTATAATTTCAGTAAGCATTATTTTCATGATAACTTATTTTTCTAACACACTCAAATAGTTAAAATAAATATATTTTCATGCAATATTTCATAAAACTATAACTTTTTCAATAATAAATTATAATTATTTGTATAGGTTTGTCTTAATGTATGCAGAAACATTAGATTTTTGAAGAACAACTTAAAATTCACAAACAAATTTGTATAAATGTATGGAAAAAAATAGAAATAGAGAAACCAAAAGAAACGAAAAATTCCTATGGAATAAATTAAAATATTGAAGAATTTAAACAGATTGAAGAAAAAAGAGATAGAAGAATTAGAAGAAATTAAATTACAATTTGGAATAGAAATTTTATATGTGGTTTTCATTAAGGTTTTGCACCATTATTCATTCAATATTTCACATAAATGTTTGAAAAAAAAAATGGAAATGAAAGTACCGAAAGAAAATAAATTTGAATATGGAGAAATTAAAAGAGATGACGTTATTAATGCATAAAAATCAAATTTGTAAGTGGATTGTAGTTCGGGCGACCGGCCAAAATACTAATTTAATCATAGTTATAATTGCCCAACTTAAATCATTTGAAAAACTTCTGTATGACTAAAACCAATACCCTTTGTCGTGTGCCAAATCCAAAAAAAATCTACATCTACATAAACTTCATCGATTGTTTTTAAATACTTAAAAAATTACAAATAATCAAGTGAACATATGAAATTTTATAATATTTTTTGTAAAATATACGACTCATATCATATTTTTATGATTCATGAAAACATAAATATTTCACTTGAAACTGGAGATAACTTGATCGATAACTTGATTGCAACAGCCTTCGTTTTGATTCATTTTCACCGCTTTCAGTTGTAATATCTATGCAATACCTTTTCCGTAAGTTTCATAACATTCATTTGTTTCGTATTGATTGGAAGTGAAGCCAAGTGCACACTCGATGTTGCGTTACAATTTGCAATCTGCGAAAAGAACAAAGCATTTCCTCTGCATCGTTTTCCATCACGTTTTTCTTATTTCCCACGTGCGATATTTCTCTACGGAGAGTCGAAGAAAGAGAAACGACGTTACTTTAAATAATATATAGGATAAACTGTTGTTGGACGACTGCTGACCCTAAGTCCCAGACAAAAGGGCCGAACAAAGCCGCGCAAGTATCAGCAATTTATTTTAAACCCGAAAGCCGTTTTCTCGAATTGTCTCTCCACTAGCCTTCGGATCATGTTCATGTTCATGGGAGCGGCGCTCACAGAATTAGCTCAATGGGAAGGAAGATCTGCGGTAGCTCAAAGCTTCTATCTTCAGTCAAAACGTTTTAAACTTACCCAGTCGTTTGATATACTCACGAGTACACAGTTTGATTGAATCCTAGGCGGTTAACGTTCATCCGTAGGTCGATTGCAACATAAATCAAATGATGATACACCGCACAACGTTTCACACGCGAATTTTCACTATTTGACAAGTACTGCAATTGTTTCTGACAGTTGTACCAAAATCACGCAATCTAGTTTCATGTGTTTAGTAATTTTATAGTCTGGTGATAACCATGACAGTTATAAAATAAGCGCCAAAAGATTAATCTACATTTTTCACATATCTTGAGATATATATTTTGAGATATTCACATGTCTGATGGTCGCATAGTGCGGCTTCGATCAATTCGGATTCTGGTTTGATAATTCCAAAACAACGGTTGGTAATCATTGTAATACAACACAATGTCATCGGACTCCATGGTAACCAATAATAACAAATTACAACATAAAAACAGAAACTACTTCAAGTTGTTACGATTGACAGATATTTGTATCTCATGTCAGATCTAATTGGATAAAGTAAAACACTTTATTATACTTGGTATAGAAGTATCACTAAACCTTTTACATTCAAGTGAAGAAATCTCGTTTGCGGATTAAGTTATATGGGATTGTAGAGAAGAAAATGTCTTCAGTTAGAGCGACGATCAAAAGGCACTCCCGAAAATTACTGATCAAATGCGGAAATACGACACGAAGAAGCGGATCGCCAATCACGTCATATGGCCTTCAGCGACCACCGTTACAAGCCCCAATCGAAACAAATAAAATCCCTTATCACCAGTTTGCACTCTAGCTGCCCTTATGTAAGTTCCTTCTATACCAATATTAACTAATTAATTTAAAAAAACACACACTTTATTACTTGATTAATGTATACAAATAACACCCTATAGTTGTCATGGAAATAACAAGTTGTCATTTGACAAAAAATAAAGTTATTCGTTGTAACAAACTTATTTCTATAGTAATAATTAAGTTAGTAAGGTAATTTACAGTTTACATTTTAAAAAAATTCTAATATTTAAATTATAGTTATAATTATTTTCTGTTTTCTTCATAACAGTGACAAATATCAACATTATGAAAGTAATATTAATTTGCGTATTTTGTATTTTATTTATTTATTTATTAGTACATCTCAATTGGCTGCAACTAAAACTATAATATTTTTCTAAATATAAATTACTATGTTTAATGGTAAATGTTCTAAAAATATAATAATGTAAACTGGTTTTTGCAAAATAAATAATTCGAGAAGAAAATCTGAAAATTCTCATATAAATTTTAACTTAAATAAACACAAATAATAGAAATGTCTATGATGTGAAAAAGAATTTGCAAAAATTTACGTCCACTTACGAGAAGGTTGATTGTTAATTATATTTGTACCAATATAAACTTAACTTGAAGGAATTATAACATTATACCAACGTAAATAAGTATCAAACGTTTATTGAATGCATTGCACTTCTCCTTATTTTATTTGATTTTACTTCTACATCTCATTGTTACAAATGTCACATCAAAAGCTAACAAGACAAAGACCGTTCTTTATAGATTTTAATTTCCATTTAAATCGAGTCGGCGAAGAAACTGCACGCAAGAAAACCAAAACACGAATTTCCGATTTGCAACTGCTCTATCAATATCAATGTGGACTTGAACAATGTTGTTAACAAAAAAAATACAAATTGAAGCTCAGGACATTGTTATTGCTACTATATTAGCATAGTCCCAACATTCTGTATTCACTGGACGTTGACATTGAAATGTATATTGACAAATCACTTTACCGCGCGACCGAAATTGATGTTTAACCATTTAACCAGTTAACGAACCGAACGTAATTATTAGAGTTTTATGCAACTGTTTTAACAGAACAAACATTCTTAATTAATTAGTTAATAAATGTGATCAATAAGCAGTTTTTCGAAGGGATGTTTAGGAAGTAAATGTATAATTAAGAAATCGCGTGTGCATTGAATATGTTAAACGAAACGTTGGTTCTGTTCGATATGTTTCGCGTGAAAGTTAGAGATCAAAAGTACATTAACTGAAGTAACCGACCCACAATGCTATTTACGATTCCATCAATGATGCACCGATCGTTTTTCCACGAACCGCAATTTCCTTTGATGAGTGTAAAATAATTTACGAACTTTCGAATCGCGGAAAACACGTTGCGCCTGTGTAAATGTTAAGATAGAAACAAGAAGTTCAATTTAAAGTGTAACCTGTTTTTGCTCTTTTTTTGCGTGATAAGTTTCATGTTGTATTTGTAGATTTGAATAATTCATTGTCATCTGTATAGTATGGATAATAATCATTACGATCGTTAACTCATTGGTAATACGCCCTTGTATATCAAAATTGATTTGATCAACAATATTAAATAATAAAATAAGTACGTTGAATATTAAATTATTGTTTTACAGTTTGATATTTGTCGTAATACAAGATGTCAATTATCTCTCTCTTTCTACTACATTAAGTGTGCTTAGAGTTAATTAGTATCTATTATGTTCAGTAGCAAACTAGTATGAACTAGCAAATATTCAATGTAATTATTATTGTGTTTTTGATTTAAATTTGGTTGTAAATTAATTGTTCAAATTGAGATTGTGCTTGTGCTCTCGTAATAATATGTCGAAAATAAAAAATGGGAGCAAAAGGATCGACAGGTGTACGCACGTGTGATAAACAGAGAAGAAAGACAACATTCTTCGTCAGACTAAAAATAGAAGTGAATAAAATGAAGCAAGAACTTACTGTCGGTGTCGAACTTCCTGATGATTGTCTCGATGAGCGTGGTCCTCGGTGCCACTAATCCTCTTCGAACAGGCATAATAACCGTAGGTCATATGAGCCTCCTCGATCGTTATTTGATGTTGAGATGAGATCTCGAGGATTCGGCTCCTCGCGAAACACGCACTTTACAACAACAAGTGAGAAAAAAAATCCAAACAAATTGCAAAAATTCTTTCACGCACTTTTCGATTCACTGCACTAAAACCAATATATTATCAATTAATTGATTATTACTTATGGTCGTTGTATATAGTTAACTTCGTCTGATCGCTTCTATTTTTACTCAAAGTTCTTTACGATTGTTAACGGGGTTAGGTTAGTTTTAATTTATTATTAGTTTAATTAATTTTGGAGGGCATAAGAGAGATAAACGCTAAATCTGGATGCGGGTATGATGGAAAGAGCGTACAGGCATTTAGTGTGTGATTGTGTTTAGTGAATTTATATAGTTATAGTAGACAGGGTTTGTGGGGGACGAAGAAGGGCGGTGCGCGCGATTTCCTTCTCCGAACTTCTTTGTATTCTCGCACTCTTCTTTTAATTAATCTCCGATGATGATGATTGCACACTTGATTATCAAAATCCTAATCACTTCCGTTTCCTTCGTTCGCTGCTCCTCACACACAAATAGATGATTCCTTCTCTTCGCAAATAAAAAATTAATTGCAACGTGTATATAATAATAATAATAATTATTACGTTTTCATTCGTTTCCTTCTCAATGTTTAAGGCAAAATGTATAAGGCATTGAAACCACTAACTGTTATTATTTATAATATATTTATATGTATATAGATATATATATATATGTCGTTAATATAAATGTACTTCCTTCTTTCGGCTCTTTTCGCACCCACAATTCAGTTCGATTCGATTCAAAAGAACCTCTCCGTCTTCGACTCCGTCCGTAACGTCGAGATTTTGTTTTATTTCCGATGCGACGTTGTTAGGGGTCCGTTCTTTTTTTGCTCTCGTCTCTTGTGTGTGTGTGTCCCGTTGCCGTTTTTTTCTTTTTACTTCTTTGCTTTGTCTCTACTTGATGCGTCGCGACGCCGTCCGTCGTTTATCTGGTGGTCGGCGCCTCCGTGGTCCGCTTCGAAGACGCCCGTCTCGTTGCCGTCGTTGTTCTCGTCGGAACTCGCGGATCCATAGCAGTGTCTTTGGCAAACAGCACTGGCCGGACCCGACCTGACGGCGTCGCGGTTAAAAATACACACACGGACGCCACCACCGCAACGCCGGCGACGCTGATGCAGCGCGCGCCGGCGTCCCTCTGCCCATTCAATAGCATCTCTGGAGGTCATAGGCCAATCCATTGACACGTATGCTAAAAGGAATGCATACGTTCTCGTCCTGACAATAACTATTGATGAACTTCAATATCATCGTAACGAACCGTATTGTATTCAACCCACTTCAATGCTTCAATTCTCAAACAACTCAAATTGCTTTCAATTCAAATTTGACATTATCTCAATCGTTTATAAAAGTTTCATAGATACATGAAAGTTGCACGATATCATCTTATTAAGTGTACATTCCCATTCTGAACTAATTCTTGCCGAAAGAGTTTGGCTTTGCATTTCTCTTTAACACAATGTAACATGTTACTTCTCTGAATAAATAACCATTTGAACAAATCTAAACTAATTCAACCTAAATCCAATTTCCAATATAATCAATTTAAATTTCAAATTGCTTCCAAACGCATCATAAATAAGAGCTATAAGAAAAAGAAAGAAGTTTTTGTTAATATTATAATATCATCTTTTGTCAATCTGCTGAATTCAATACAATAGAACATTTACATTTAAATTTTAACTTTGACATCCTATTGTCAAAATACCAACAATGATTTTTTAAGTTCAATTTTTGTAAACCATGATGAAGAGAATGATGATCTGAAGGCTGCAGTGAAAACGAATACACCTCAAACTACGCATGAACTATCAGTAGGATATGACGTTACTAGTCCGACACTATTATTAACCTTTTATACAAATCAAGAAAGTAAGGTCAAGAAACTGTATTGTAAATTAAACAATCGTTTTTAAGCTTGCTTTTCTTTGCTGTTGCGATTTTTATACCATTTTGTTACCGCCATTACGTATGAATTAATTTCGACAATCGCGTTCGTGTTCGACAGAATGATTGGATAACAATGAAGACCAAATCACACCTGAAAATCAAATATTCGAGCAAATGGTAAAACTGTTTGGTGGCCAAGATTAGTGAATAAAGACAGATCAAACCGCTTGCGAATAACGCTGTATTGATAGTTTAGAGTCTAAACTTTAGACACATACTTTGGTTAATTCTTGGTTAAGATATGAGAAACCAAACTTTCAGTTTGAAATCAGACCTAATTAAAAGATACTACCTAATACTAGTAGTTAATTTGAAATATCAAGATACATGACTTACTAATGCAGATAGTTCCTAACTACTTATAATACCAAGATAAAGTTTTTTTATACGTTAACATATCCTGGTAGTTCTAAATCGTACTATATATTTTATTAAATTGAATTTTGAATAATTCCTTTGAAGATTCGACGACACTCTTGAAAATAAAAACGATTAGAAAACAAATTAAACGGTTACTAAAGCTTCAGTTAACTTTTATTAGATTAACACTATTTGATGGCACAGGACTAACACTGTTTAGGGAGTACTTTTGGTTGAACGATGTCCTATAAACACCATGCCTAAATCCATCCCTGTACTTAGAGTTGTAATGTGAAATACAACTCAAGAACTTCAAGAATTAACTTTAAACAATTGTATATTTTTCATTTACTCCAATGACCTTTTGCCACCTTTCTAGCTACTTCATAATTTAGCGCTCATAGAATTTTTTATCCTTATCAGGAAAAACCTGACGAGAATGTTGGTCATCTTTGTGTAAAACATCTCCATATCGATTTCAAATTAACCAATGATTTCTGTTAAACAATCAACAACACAAATTTCACATGTCTCAAGCAGCTTTCTTGTCTTTACGGAAATAAAATATGTCGAAAATATTTGTGTTTGCACAACCCGTAGCAGCAATTATATTTTTATTGTTGATAAATTAAGCTAAAAGTGACATCTATCAAATGTTAAAAAGAAAAACTCAGAAATCCCTCAAAACAAACATATCTATTTGTTAACTTAAATTATTACTATTGAACTATGTTAATATTAAAATATTTATTTGAAAAATACAATATTCATAAATATACAAGTACAGAAAATATTTCTACAAATCTCTCTACAAAGTCAAAAGTTTCAATATCCATTAATTGTATGATTGCTGTATCAATTGTCAAATTATAGTGCATGTTTACGAGTAATATAACGAACATAGTTTATTTTGAAGTATTTTCAAACAAAACCATTATATATACAATTACACGAAATATATTTTGACAACATTAACTTCAACCAAACAAGCCACAAACTTTTCAATAAAAAAATTGAGTGACAGTGAAGTAATTTCGCATTACGTATTATTTGCATGCGTTTTTTATCGTGTGGAAATTACTTAAACAATTAAATCGATATTACGCAATGACCGTACACAAATATTTCATTACATAACATGTTAATATTTGTTTGTATAAATAATGATAGTAAAGTTGATATTTGTAAAAGTTAAAAGATTTAACATTTTTGCTTAACATTCAACACATCAATGTTTGTAAAATACATGATTTCAAAATAACGATTAGTTCCAAGATCTTTAAGTTTAATAATAATGTTGAGTCTAAGAGGTTATCACAACTTTATCCAGCAAAAAAATTCAAAGATAAGTTTGATTCGCTGAAATGCGGTGAAAAATAATTAATATTCCAAGGCTAATTAGTTTGATTTAGAAAAGTAGCGTTCTCGGTACGAATTTTGAAAAAGCTGTTAATATAGTCAGTGGATGTAGGTAGAGTGGAGCAGCACCTCAAGTATGATCATCGTATCCGTCAAGTACTTGAATTCTCACTAAGACCTTCGTTAGTTTCTCAAGCAACATAGCCCCTAGTTTCAGAAAAAGATACTTCTTACTCAAACTCTAAGCTTCAGTTATTCTATCTGTTCGAAAAAAAAATTATTTAATGTCATATTATTTTATATATTAGATACTCTATAATCACAATAATTTGTTGAATTAATCAATAATAATTTGTACAAAGTCAATTACTGCAAATATAATCTTAATTACGGTAATTACAAATATTTGCTTTATAAATAAGTACTTAATTGATGTTTATCAATTATTTGAATGCAATTATCTGCATTCAAGATAAAAAACAAATATAATTAATAGGCATTTTGATGTAAATTAAGATATGTTATTTGACAGTGACAGATGAGATGTTGTGAAAATATCTGTTATTTTCGTAGTTGGGGTTCATCGTTCATCCATACTCAAAGTAATGAAAACACGCGTAATCGAAGATCAAACGCGGAATTTTAGAGACATCATCAGGGATTATTTACTTTATTAGTTCCAGGCGATTAATTTGCCCTCTCGATCCGATGTCAGATTTTCATTGAAGCCGGTCGCATCCACTTGTCAACTATACCGAATCGATTCTCGCGTTACACCGATGAAATTAGTTACTTTAGCGAGACAGAAATATTATATCGAAATACTGATATACGAGCGTAGTCCCAGAAGTACGCGACCTAACAAAGGAAACACACAAAAAAATATGAAAAAAAATATCTTTATATCTTCTTTTAGTTCGATATACTTTTCCCAAGCGATTTTCAATAGTTTCGATAGTGAAAACCGTCGAGCTCTACAAAATAAACAGTAATTTATACGTGAGGTCGGGTACTTTTGGGACAGATATTTTTTTAGAATCAAATTGGAAAAGTCCGCAAATAATTTGAGTAAAATTGTATTTCCTTACTATTATTTTTCAGCAATAAAAGATTTGTTTAAGTTAAAAAAAACAATTATTAATGGTTTGTTGAAATACTAATAATAACTAAATAAAAATTATACTGAATATGATCAATATAATCGTAGAAAATTATCAGAAAAATGCGTTATAGCAGAATTATTATCAGAAAATATGTAGAAAAAACGGGAAAATTGTACATTGAAAGTCAAAATGTTAGTATCAAATGTGTGTCAATGTCATTCAAATTTTATGTTTAGACACCCGGACAATACAATACATAATCCTCCTAACGAGCTACCTCCTAAATTTTATGTTTATACACCCGGACAAAACAATACATAATCCTCATAACGAGCTAATGTATGGATACACCAATATCACACCCATTTTGGAATGCATTGGCATATTTTGCTATTTTCAAAGTTTTGCTCTAGACCTTCCAGTCTCGATACAGTTTACCGGTTGCATATTAAGAGTCGAAGGTCGATCGGATTTCCTGCTCTTACTCTTTATGAGCACATATTGTCAACTTGAAAAGTACCTATAATTTTGGTCTTTTTTTATGATATTTTGTACATTATATTAATATTTCATGGGCAGAAAGACCTATGATCGTTCGCCCTTTGCAGCAGATCAATTTGCTTTTATTTTCTTATTTTGTTCAGTTTGTAGTATGATGATTTGTTGGAATAATTTGTATTATTAAATTAGTAGAAAAATACTAATTGCGATTAGAACAACAATATTTGAACATCATTTGTCAAATGTGCATATGTGTTTCATATTTAGTCACATTTTAGAATTAAGTAAGGAAAACAATGAAATGTACGATAAAAAATAACTTTATTTATTCGAAATTAAAATAATTATCTCACAGAGCTTCGTACATTCGAAAAATTCGAAGAATCGCTAACATTAAATCTTAAATAATCCTAATCGTCTAAGATTAAGTCGTAAAATAGTTAAAAAGTAAAATGTGGGAGATGCATCATTGCTCGATCCAAAAATTAATATCAGTCGCAAAATTAGACCACCTCTCGAAATCGGGGCCAATTTAAGTTTTTTAATCTTTTCCCTGTTAACAAAAAAAAATATAAACACTAGCCGAAGAAATTTACTTACATAACGACAACAACGAAAGTCGCTTAGTCGATAAGAACAAACATAAAAAAAAAATCGATTTTGATATAAATAAATATTAAAACCTATGTAAAGTGTGAAATGATGATTTTTTGTTCTCTCTTAAAATAAGTTAAAGTTGCTTATCGTTCTTTTGCCCAGAATGTCTTTTCGCGAGAGACGTTTCGTTTTGACTGGGCTCGGGGTTGAGATTTTCTTCGGTGTGTTCTGCTGGGCGAGCTGAGCTTCCTGATCGATGAAGAACTTGAGACATTTCAAGTTCAGATGCGTGATGTAGTAAAGGCAGCCGATCATGAAGACGAGTCCGGCCGGCATCAGAGCAGTGCACAGGGTGTAGAGGCAGACCAGTAGTTGGACGAAGATCGCGACTATCGTGGCGTAAACACCGCAAATTGCTAAACGTTCGCTGAAGAACATGCAGAATTCGTCTTTGGCGTGTCGCGAGAAGTCCCGGAAATCGTCCAGGTACATCGAGATGTTCGCCTTCGTGCAAATCCTGGACACCTTGTAAACAGTCGAATTGTAGATGGTTGCCTTCGAATAGATGATGGAACGTTCGAAGTTGGTCTGGATGACCGTGCTCGAGTTCCTCAACCAGGTTAAGATTGCCGGAAGGATGTAGTAGTTTTGCGAGCAGATGTAAGTGTTGAACTTCCGGATTCGTTCCAACGAAGAGCTACGCACGAACCTCGACCTCTTGTACGCTTTAGTGCGTTCGTCCTCCATCCTCTGCCTTTCGCTTTCCCTCAGTTCAGTGGACATCCTTCTCGAGGATTTAGTTGAATTGAATATAGAATATAGTTTATTCGGGAATCCTGTAAACGAAAATTTAAAAAAAAAATAAATTAGCGTGCACGTTATCGTCATCAGCGAAAGGTCAGATAAAGCCCAGACTAAACATAGTGTACTAACTAAATATATATATATGAATAACATGGGAAATCTTCATGTTTCGAAAATGAAAAAAAAAAAATATATGTGTGTTAAGAAGCTTCGCGTGTTGCGAAGAGACATCACAAGGTTAAATTCTGAAGCTAGTTTTTGTTTTGTTCTTATTCTCATCCACCGCTCGCAAAGTATTCCTTAATTGTGCTCCACCGAGTACAGAAGCTTTTTATGCCCTTAAATAGGATTCTTTTATATGCTCAATCTCAAATTGCGAAGATACTTTTATTATTCCCAATAGAAAACCAAAGAATATTACCTAATAAATTCAGAACTTCTTGCAACTATATTTCCTCCAACAATTCCACGCACAATTAACGCAAACGAAAACAACTTCACTGATATTTATTAATCGATAATCAATCGATGCTGTCAATCGATTCACAACGTTTTTTCGTTTAGAATTCAAACCTTCGATTAGAATCGAAGAGAGAGAGGAGGAGGATTCATCAATTGATTTGCGCACTCTGATGAGACCCACTGACTGATTTTACTTGACTAACCGCAAAGGATGCACCACATCCAGTGTTGTTGTGTCGATTAGAAGAAACGGCGATTCCCGGAATAAAAACCCCCACCTTCCCCATCGAGTTCGATCAGCGACAGCGCGAAATGTGTTATTTATGTAATTAATTTGTGCAGCTCGTCAAGTCAAGTTCAAGTTCTTTATCGTTTTTCGGTGATAACCCTGTTTTTTTGGAACAGATCTTCCATGTTCCTTTATTAATAACAATTTCAATTTGATGGAGCCATTTTTTTCTTCTTCTTCTTCTTATTTCATCTTCTGAAGAAGAAAAAACGACGACTGCAGAAAATACGACGACTTCGAGAGTCAAGGTCGTAAAGGAGACGAAGAAAAAACCTTTCCAGTACTTTATTATTTTCGAATGGTCACTTTCGCATGTACAAATGCAGAAGATAACAAAAAAAAATATGCTTTGCAGACGCAACAATTAACGATTGTTTCTACCTAATTGCGAAACGCATTTCTTGCAATTTACTTGCTTCTTCGACGTACTCTTTAGCAATATTTATGATGCAAATTCTCAAAATATAATGAATTAGTTTTTCCATTATTTTTTTTTATTTGTTTCATGAAAACAAGTCACAATTGAACACAATAAGTTCGAAAATCTAGTTAATATTATAGAATCATTATTGATAGAAACAACTGAACGATTCTAAGTCTAAAAAAGTAGAAACATGGTTGCTAAAATTCTAATTGTGTGTTTTGAACTTTATTTATAAATACGTAAAATTTTGAATGACTTAATTATGATATTGATGAAAACAACTCGACTATTCTAAATACCATAAAAAAATACGTCTGAAATTGTATTGAAATTACATCCAAAATCAAATAGAATGTTCAGTCTTTTGAACTTTACAGTCATAACTCCCATAACAAAACTTCGAAAGAAGTCACTACGAAATGCTTAATTAAATAGTTTAGTGCATATTATGGTCAGAAGTTGTGCTAGAGGAGAAAATAACATCCAAGAAATTAGAAATTAAGTTATCCAGATTGTTCAGTGAATAAGTTTCGAAAATGTTGATGAAGAGAATGTTAGAAATTTAATGAATCAAAAATTTTAAAACCATCCAAAGTGTTATTTTACTAAGATTTTACTTTGTATGTAATTTGAGTGTTTTTATGTAATATTAACCCCTGAAAACGAACACATCCCATTCGTCAATGGATTGTGATTGACGGAAGAATGTTTACGTTACGTTACGAAATTACTGATACGTTAGAAATTGTTAAAGTTTGAACTTTATTCTTTCATTCAATTTTATGGAAGTGACAGAATATTTTATGTGTACAATAAATAAATGACGAAGAAATTATAAACTAATAAATTTAATCAAAACATAAAATCTTTCTAAAATACAAAATTTGAACTGATTTGTGATAAAACGTATGACAACATATTATTCCTGTTTAAATTGCATATTTTTTTTTATTATACTCTTTCATCGTATATTTAACCAAAATAATATAATTTGTAATTATGGAAATTATAAAAACGTGTATAAATGCGAATGTTTATTTAAAAATAACTTTTACATATTTATTTATATTATTAATATATATACATATTTGAATTAACTTGTTGGAAGCATTTATAAAACGAATAACTTCATTTTATATAATTACAGTCAGACAGTCGAACCGGAATCGGAATTAACCGGATTTTTTAACTGAAACATAACTGTAACCGGAACAAAAAATTGCTGAATTGAAAAACCGAAACTGGTTCATTAAATTAATTCATAATCGCCTTCTTTCATGTATGCTCTTCGATGGTACGAAACGTTGGAACGCTTAATCATCAATATAAATTAGAGCCTCAATCACCACCAATCAACCACCGATTAAAAAGAGAAAATTTGAAGAAGAAAGGACAAGCACAAGTCTTGCGCAACTAACATTAGAACAAACTCAAATGAAATATTAAAAAGGATATTACTGCAAACATGAAGAAACATTACAAAAGTGCATGTGTTGAACTAGTCACTAATTCAATTTTATTTCTTTTATATTTTCATTTTTATAATTGAAAACAATAGTAAAAGAATTTGGTAAATAAAATTTAACTAAAATTTGATATTGGACTCGATTTTAAATTTTAACTAAAATTAATTTAAATTGTTTTTTTTTCGATTTTAAATTTTAATTTCAATCGGAACTGAACCGTAAACCGAAACGAAATTAATTTCGGTTCGACACAGTTCATCAATGATAATTCTATTTCCTTTAAATTGAACTTTAAAAGGTATTAACGATCGTCATATTAAGTTGTCCAAGAGATGGCATCACGATCAAAGTTGTCCATTGGTAAAACAGCAATACTTCCTGCACTAATCAAAGACTTTAAAACCGCTTGAAAAGATATTTAACTTTATAAAGAAACAAAAAAAATACTATCGTATATTATAATTATGCTATTTCCTTTACATTGAACTTCGTGAAACCGATTTCAGTTTCATGCAATTCAATTGAAAATAAATAACAAAAATAAATCAGCTTATCTATAACTTTAGTCTTTAAAATCTTATACGAAACTCTTGGAAATTTCTTATACAGTTCAACAGTTGCAGATTCCTTCTTAAATTATTCTCATCTAACTAAAATTGTTTTCCTATATTTTTAATCAATTTACTATCAAAAAAAAATCATTTTTGTATGGAATCGAATTACGTTTTCTATCTCGAATTACGTCAATTTCACTCGCAGGTTGCAAAATGAGGCACTTGCGTTACTGTAAACATGTTGTTAACATCTTTCGAAAATAATTCGATCTAATAATTTAATGTTTTTTTTTGTTATACATAAAACCTGAATTAAATAATTGATCGATGTAATCTTAAAATTACTATTTTAATTACTAACTTGTTTCTTCTTCAGATTGACATAAAAAGTGGTCGCGATCTATAGGCAAATTAATAATATTTCAAAGAATTACTTAATCTAGTTGCTTATGAAGTCAGGAATATAGAAATGAAGAAAAATTAATTTCGCACACAACATCTTAAAAATGATGATAATTAAGAGTGAACGATTTTTACTTATTCGGCGCTTAGAAGACTTTTATCATAATTTTGTAAGAAATGTCCAGGAAAGAGGAATCCATCCAATAAAGATTCAGTAGACGTAGTTGGGTCTAGAAATTTAGGAATTTCTGGCCCTTCAAAGAGTTAAGTAACGATTTTAAATGAAAGATAGAAATGAAGAAAAGCAATTTCGCTTCGCAATCGATTTTGACCATATCTGGTATAGACAACTTCTTAAAAATGAAGACAATTGAGAGTGAATGACTTTGACTTAGTCATAAAGTTGCTTTTAATCATATTTAACCAGCATCTAATATTGTAATCTTAACAAAATTTAAAGAAAGTGTTAAACTCAAAGCTAAATGCTTTTTACAAATTAATGTAAAATCTCAAGTAATAACCGGTCGTTAACCTTAACACGAATGTCACTTCAACAGATGTAATTTTACTCAAAGAATGTATTAATAATTTTTCTTTTTGTTGTTAGGTTGAAACAATGATAAACACGAAATTACGAATACGAGAAGCAAAGTGAAGTAAATTAATTGGCGTCTGCATTATCTGCTATTTTCGTTTTATCGTTGCAACGACCCGAAAATGAAAACATGAATACATGGAAAAAACACACACTCACAAGTACACACAGAGAGGAGGCGCTCTCTCGTATCCTAAAAAACCTCGACTCCCGACGAATCTCTCTGTTACCAAGAGACACAATCCGACTTTGATACTGAAAGTGATATCAAATTAATTCGTCAAAACTCCACTTCGAACCGACAATGTGCAAAGCGCACTTGTGACTTTTCGATGACGTTATCAAGCCACCTTTGACGTCACCGCTTAATTCCAAAATCAAATCTTCTCATGCTATTCACCGTAACGTCATCACGAATAAATGAAGCACACATTCTAGTTTCGCAATTCACAATTATACTGTACCATTAAGATATGGTTTTTCTATGGAATGATTATATAACTTGTTTCATAAAATTATAGATAAAGTTACGTACGTACGTAAAGTCGCTGTAACGATGTTTCTCAACCTTTTGTCTGGCAATTCAAGTTATTTGTTTGTAGTTGCGACTCAATTGCTAAGCGCAGGTCTTCGCTTTGACGCATGGTGACAGCTGTCATTAACTCAACTCAATTTTGGATTGATTGATTCATAGTCTCTTGTTTCAAAATAAATCAAAACGTAGCAATACGTAAAACAGAAATACCTCCCGCACTAATCAAAGACTTTAAAACCGCATAAAAAGATATTTAACTTAAAAAAAAAGTCGCACTATGCAAAGTATTCTATATGTAGTCTTTATAAATTAAAACAACAACAATGAAATTGACCATGAAATTGGCTAAGTGAATTTCCAAAATGCTTTATTTTCTTGCTACTAATGGCTCGATAATTGGACTGATGCATTTTTTTTCCTACAAAATAAAATAGTTTTTTCTTTATGGAATTGTTAGTACTTGTCAGAGTCTACATAATAATAATAAGCAACATTTGAGCCACTTACCTAATTCTACGTATAATTGCATATTAATTACGACTATATTATAATAATTTAAAGTAGTTTCTAAAAGAAACGTATAATCTTACACAATTAAATTTACATTTTCAACCAAAACTAGGTAAACAGTTTCATGAAATTTTTTACATGACTTCGATAAAAAGGAAAGCAGACATTTATCGATGTAAACTATGTTAAAATCGTGGAAAGACCCGGACAGGACCAAAGTTCAATAGCAATTAGTGCGTAAAAAATCATTTGCATATCCGTCTTACCAATAATCAAATATCGCGTTAAAAGTAACTTATTTACAAACAACTTAACTTAATTAATCAATATCACTTAACGAATCAAATACCATTTTTAGTTATAGCATTAATATTTGTTATGTTTTCATACTAATTACTTATTTAACACACATTGTTTAATTTCGATCAAACTAAGTTTCTTGAATTATTTTATGAAGTAATTTCATTACATTCTTAACTTATTATATCAAATTATCTCATGTAAAAATTATCATTACACAGCGGATGCATATATCAACTTGTTTCTTTATTTTTAGCTCACATTAATCTAATTGCAGTTATCAAACGACAAACTATTTCGATTCGTAAAGTAAAACAAAGAATATTTAGAAAGTGCACTTTGCTTGTGTTTAGCATGAAATGAATGGAAAGTTCACAGACATAATTTAATGCTCAGTTAATAAATAGAGAATAATTGAAATATTCGCTCATTAAATGTATTCAGATAATCTAATTCAATGAAAATAATTTTATAGTAAATAAACAACGGCATTATCAAACCGATTCTCTTTTTCAGTACTCTGAACACCGCACGAACGTCAAAGCTGATAACAATTTAAACAAATTATAAGGAAAAAAATACAATAATAACGTTAGTGCATGCAAATGATTGTTTACACAAATGGATTTGCGTCAAATTTATTTATAGTCATAATTTACCTTTTTTTTTATTTGTAAATAACAAAAGATGAAAATGAAAAGAACTTCAATTAATTTATTAATTATTGAGAATAGTGACAAACACATGACAGTTATGTGTCAAGTGTACCAATATCATCGGTCTCCAATAGCAACCAACCATCACAAGCCCCCGGTGGGATTTACTGTGGTGCATTTCTCTCAGGTTTGTGCGACTTTCCATGGACGAGAGGTTATTTATGTTTTTATTCTATTCTGAATCCATTTTTTTTTGCAATTTTGCTTTTTTAAAAGGGCTTTTCCTCGTAGTGGTCCGCGAGATTCAATATTTTGAGTTTAGTGGTCCGTGAGGTTGAAGACCGCTGATCTAAAGCGACGGTTCGCAAAATGACAGCTGTCACCTTGCGTACAAAATATGTTATAAACAATTGGGTCGTAGTACAAGTACAAACGAATATGAAGAGGCCGCACATCGAAAAGATTGAGAAACACTGAGCTAATGTTTCTTGCCAGCATTAAAGTTCTTAGCAATCTAAATTGCACCATTGTTGGCCATTTATACAATGATCCATCGGGAATTCAGTGTTCCTCTACGGATTTCCAATAGAACATGTCACGTTAAAAGCTTCTACAAAGTCCATGTCCACTATAAATCGGAAAATGAAAGTTGTCCATAGGAGAATAACAATATAATATTATCCTACCATGTGTTTTATCGGATATTCCCATGCGTATTTTCACTCAAATTCAAATCCTCAATGTAAACTTTAAATTTTTTAACAAAAAATAATAATTAAATAATCAAAATTGGATTTTATATTAAGGTTGTATATAAAATTTGAATAACAAAGAATTGAGAAATCCGCACACAAAACACATAATGTCAATTTTTTATGTGGAATTAAATTTAAAAAAAAATAGTGCTATTTTTCTTAAGTTTGAATGTGTACTTTGGAGTCTGTTACTAAAGGTTACACGGATATTTGAATTATTTCATATTATTGATTAATAAATAAAATCTTCAACAGATACAGAATCTTAATCAAATATTTGAATATTGAATAAATTAAATAAAATTTTTAGTTATAATATAGTATTTGTTATGGTTTTTCATTACTTATTTAAAAGCTTGAAAAATTTACATAAATTGCTAATAGTTATCATCATACGAGCCTTAGTGATCTCTTAGTTTTATATAATTCATGAAAAAGTTGTCAAAAATAGATAAATTTAAAAAAAAATACAGCAATTTCAAAAGAAACTACGTTTTAATTGAGCGAAATAAATATAAATTATTTTTTGATCGTTTTTATTTCGTCCGGTTTCAAACAGTCTGGGATATTAGCGGAACCGTACTATACGAGGTATTACAATATCAAAATGTGCAAAAAAGCTTTAAGGTATGGAATGTAATGTAAGAAACAAGATAATCAAGATATCAAGAATATCTTAATACTTCTCAAATTTTTCAAAACAACTATTAAATAAACATTTCTTGGAAATGTATAATCGCCTATTGAAAAATATATTTTTTATTATTTCTGCTCTTATCAGAAAAACGTGATAACTGATTCATTTTTTTTTTTCACTCTCAAAACTTTGATGTTTTAATACACGTTTCGTTTGTAAAGCGCACTAAGATCCGCTGAAAAATGATGATACACACAATCTTGAAATTTGTTTATCAACGAATCGCAAAACAAAAAAATAATAAAAATTACTAATAACACACACAGATTATACAAAATATTAATTTAAAAAAAGAAAGAAAAACAACTTACCGACAATAATACTATATTAACGTCGTCGATTTTATTTTTGTTTTGTATTTGTTGTTGTTGACGATGTTGTTGTTGTTACGATGATGTATTATTGTTTTGAAACGCGCGCACCTGATTTTATCGTAATTACGGTGTTCGGTTGTTCGGTCGCGCGAAATCAGGTGAATTTCTTGTGGAAACGTAAATACAGATTCGTCTTCTCGTCCCAATAATTGATATTTTCCATAACTCGATGGTGGTTGCAGTTTATAATTATAGTGTTCTTGGCCATGTGCTTGTTCTTCAACTGTGTCTTCGAGAGTACTGGTCGTGCTCGAAGGCTACTTTTAAAAACGTGACGAACTGCACTCATACACTCGCTCACACACACAGACACGCACGCACACTCGATCCCTCAAATTTCGGTTGTACGCATGATGCACGAGGACAACACAAAGCAAATTTTAAATAGTGAAACAGGACGGGACGATATTTGGGAATTTTCACGGCCCCTCGCACCATCAGATGCGTTTTTAACCGAGGGACGAACATAATAAGGGAACCGCTTTTTTTTGAGAAAGGGCCGTACTCGGCTCAATTCTACCATGGTACAAAATTTCTAAGTTTAAATTGTATTATTAAGAAGGCTTCTTTCAAAATTGAAACTTCAAATTGTTATACTTGAAATGTCAATAGTATGATAAATATTATCCTCGGACCGTTGCAAAGGAAGAAATTAAGTTCTGTATAGACGTATAGAAACAAAATAAGATCTGTATAGAATATATTCTAATTACTCTCAAATTATTATTATTTTTTTAATATCCTTTAATATATCTTAGGATTTTGGAAATTTTAAATGAAAGATTAAAATCCAAACATGAATATTTGACAACATACGTATGTACTTCTAGAAGATATACCAACTTAAAATAACTGCGCATTACACACACACAACGCAATATTTGTTAATAATTTAACAGTTGGTAACTGTAAAATCCAATGACAATTGATTTTATGACAGTATACTAAAGGGGAAACATTAATGACACAATAACATAGAACTTTCAAACGTTTTCCGTTAACTTAAGTTTTTTTTTCTTTGTCGAATCGAATTCTAAACTAAACTGTAAATATTTTAATTATAAATCAAATAGCGGAAATAATGCGGTCAATGTACCTGTAACTACTTTTTTTACATGAGTTATTAAATGACATCACAACATACCATAATCATAGTTACTATAGTTTCTTCCTTGTATCAAAATGTTCTTTATTAATTCAATTTCTTATTTGATATAAGTATTAGTCCGAGTTATATGCGCAAGTTACTTGTAAAATCATATATAGAGTATAAGAGCAAAAGGTTATATTTAGTAACCTATTTTTATAACTATCTAACGGTATCGTCTAAATGTGTAAGTTTTGTTTATTCTAAATGTTTTACACAATTAGAACATTTTAAAACAAATTAAATTGTATCCACTCGGTCAGTGATGTCGAAGCTTTTGGTACAGATATGTCAAAATTCTAAAAAAAAAACATAACTGTCACCAAAAATGTCACAACTTACACGCATGTCATAGGTTTGCCATCTACTTTGAATACGAGTTAATACAATCCCTCCGCGAATAATTAATGATATAAAAGCGAACATGCAGATTATGTTGATACAAATGTACTACGTGGCAAATTATGCCACGTGTTAAGATTTTAGAAAAAAATACTTATATTATTAAACACTTATTACGAATTATGTAATTATACAAGAATAACAACACTAATTTTAGTAATGATTGAAATACTGCAAACGATTACTTACTCGAAATTAACGTGACAATCCTTGCTATTGAACCAATAGAAATAGTAGAAATTCTTAATATATTAACCGACAATTTGATAAGACTAACTTTGAGAATTTAGAAAAATATTTACAAAATTCGTACGCAGTCATAATATAAACATTTATAGTTTTATAATTTACAAAAAAAAATAATGAGTCATTATGAATATTTTGATGTTGCTGTAAAATAATTTTGAAAATACAAAAAAAAATCTGAAACCTCATCGAATGTAATCAGTCAACAAAACAGTTTTCGACATCGACACTCTTTTCAGTTGCTTGCGTAACACAAATCAATTTCATTGAGATTGGAAAAAAAAAACACTAGAGACTGAAGACGGGGCCCAATTGCAGATAGCAGAAGGAACCTTTGATCCTGAAATCGTAATCCTAATCGTTCATTAAACTGTTTACTGTTTTGGGAATTGCGAAACAGGTAACCATAACTACTTATACACACTGAATAAATAACGAGAACGTAAGGGAAATGGGGCTAGTCCGGACCTGCGTCCGTTCCGTTCGTAATGGAAAGTGCTTTAACCCTGCATGTACGACGACAACAACAACAACAACAACAAAATGCAGCAACTACGACATCAATAATATTTAGTGTTTAGTTGAACACAGAAAGGCTTATCAGTCGTCCACCTGTGATAATTCAAATGTTTGACCCTAATTTTGCGAACGGTAATACATACGTATTTGTGTCTTTGCGTTGCGTTAGTAATGTGTTAATGGTAATTAATTAAGGCCAATCCCAATCGGTGTTTTCGGTTTGATAAGGTGTTATCAATATTGTTGAAATATCGAAAAGAGATCACGTAGACAGACGGTGGCTGCTACTACTACTTTTGGGTGGACACGAGACGAGCGCGTGATCGAAAAGCTATTTTCCTTTCCTCCTTTCCTACCCACCGATGCAACCAGAAACCGTTTGTTCGGGACAAAGGACGGTCTTCAAAAATAGACCTGCTCGAATCCAAACTGCAGATTCGATCTTTATTTAATCCATCATCTTAAATAAGCAAAAAAAAATACTAATTTTAAACTTATTTTAGCATTAAATGCTATTTACAACTTATTAATTTACTTACATGATATTAATCACGTTTTAATACATGATTAACAAAAACTTAGTATCAATTCTTGAAATTGTTTCTATTCAATAATATAGCAACGATAATATGGTTTTTAGAAAGACCAATGTTTTCACTTCTAACACTTTTACTTTCATGCGAGCAACCCAAGTAATCCCGAAGTTTACTCTGCATAAAAATGATATTGTTTCCGAGAATAATATGATTCAGAATATATAAAATACGTTTATTCTAGAAATTCATATTCGTCATCATTGTGCGTTTACAATATACAAGAAAATAAGAAATTTGAGTCACATCGTAATAGAAGACTAGATGTAAATTGAAATGATAATCTCATTATGCAACACAAAATGTTTGGATTCTTATCAATTGTATCGTATTTCCATAGTTATCACATTAATTTTAATACAAAAGTTTCCTATAAACTCAGAAATTGTATTAATCATTTTCAGATCATTTTTTAGTTAGCAGATTTTTTTTAATTGAATATTAAGACCATGAATCAACTAATGATAAATTGAGGCAGAAAGACTTTCGACCAAAAAGGGCCAATAAAAAAGATTTAGAATTGTAAATTATGAATGTAAAAAAGCAGAATGCTCCAAAAAAATATAATTTTTACTGTGTTTCGTTATGTTCATACGATTTTTTTAAGTATTAATTAAGAACCGGATATTCCAGTTAAGTACTATAATAGTAAGTCAGCTGAAGATCTATATATTGGTCATCAAGCAAAATGAAGGTAAAATGCAGCACATTGTGATGAAGCAGCTGTTTTGATAGACCTTCATAATAAAGGTCGTCGTCCTCAAGTTTAGATTTTGTACATGCAATGCGAGAAAATATAGAGAAGAATTTCATAATTCCTCTTAACAAGGAACGGAGAAAAGTTATGAAAAATGTTTCCAACATCAAATTAGTATTAAAAATACTGCATTTATATCTACATGAATTACATTTCAATTTCTAAAATTTATTGATTTTCACTTAATGCAAATTTGTCATTTCATAAAAATATTATTTATTTGCATTTTCATTACTGAAAATCTTTAGATAAAACCATTATTTCCATATTTTTAATCACTTTTCTCATTATTTGTCAAATCATATCTGTTTAGTGAATTGAAATCTTAGTAACCATAGCAAGACACATTATAAAACCTCAAAAACTCAATCTAACATGCATCCTACACGATGCAGTTAGTATTTGTTCTATTACTCACAAAATCAAAGTGCGTCTTACACGATGCAGCGATTTCATGTTTTCGATGTATAAATAAAGTTTCCATATTTGTGTGCGATTCCAGACATCCATCAATTAATGGCTGATAACGCAAGTATATGGATCGTAAAGAAGAAGTACGTGAAATTTTGCCAGACGTCTGAGTTCGTGACATACTCGATACGATAGCGCCAAGCACGGGAATGTCCTCGTTACGAGACGAGACATCGAAGTACCCTTTGGACTCGGCGAGTCTCTCGTAACCGGATGCCCAATGTCCACTAATCCCCACAATAATACTACTTAATTGCATTGCACAACGATCCCGACGATCCGATCGTTGCCGTCTCTAATTCTGTTCCGCTCAATCAACAATCATCTATCAGTTTTCATTCACTTTCACGAACGAAACACAATTGAATCGTATTACAAATTACGCGATACATAGGTTGCCGAGAAAAACGAAATTCTAACTTTTTGAATGTAAAACCATGTAAATCGAAAATTAAGCAAAAAACGCATATTTTAGTTGTTTACAAATTATGAATTAAGGTACATCAATCGTACTAAAATATTGAAAGGCAAAAAATTGTTCCTTTTGATCTTTCTATTCAAACATTTAATTTGTAATTTTTTAAAAACGTGTAAAAAAAGTACCGTGTAAACTGAGAGATACGTGTACTAATATCGAAACCGTAGCCCTGGTAGCACACTTAAATACTTATTATGATTTGGATTCCTTTAAAGAATAATTGAATTAAATCTACAGGTGAATCATCATGTTGCAGATGAGCGACGATTTCCTTCCCATATAAGGCTTTTTTTTAATAATCACCTAATTTCAAACGGTAGAATATGATTCGTATTCGCAACTAATTTGTTTATTACTCTCCTTCTAGTGTTCAAAACTCAATCTTTTCATCGTCCAATAAGAATTGTTCAAACAGCTGTGATTCGTCGTGTCTCAGACAATCGACCTTAGAAATGAAATTCCGAACCGAAAAATGCAATTGAACAAGTTAATTCCATTATTTATATTTACTTATAATGTGTGTAATACATTCAATAAAACTGAAAATCTTGTAATTGTAATGTAAGCAGTCAAATACAAAATTTAAATCTAAAGAATATTCTGTCCCCAACTGGTGCTTATCGAAATCCACAAATTCAATGTAGTTATTTAATTATGTTAAAATTTGAGCCCATCATCGAAGAAACTTTATAAATAATTTATTTGTTTTTAAATAACAGTTGTAATAGTAACGAACAATTAAATGATCAAATAAGAACATATATGTTTTCAGTATTAACACAGTAACAACTAAAATTATAATAATAATAATATATATAATACTATAATATTAACAATTGTAATTAACTAAAAAAATGTAATGTAATGCAATAATGTGTTCGTATAAAGAATTTGTCGTTGTCAAATAAGGTATTTATTGATTTATTTCGTACTTTAATATTATTCTAGTAACAATGTCAAAATACGACTCTTCTTTTGTGTTAAAGCCTCTGGACGGGAAAGTAATCCTGATAGAAGATGTTGATAATAATGCCTGAACCCATGAGAACGACGAAGACTACGATTGCTATAGCCCGGATGATCTTCTCCGGCCTGGTGACTTCGATGTTGCGCAGCACGAAGATGCCTACCAGGAGACCGGCCAGAGCGCCGAAGAAGTGAGCAGCGTAACCGATGGACTCGTTGGCGTTCAGCACGTATCGGTTGTAGATGGCAGTGCCCACGTCGCTGCCCATCAGCACGATGAATATTATCAATTGGATAATGGGATAGGTCATCTCGCTCCAATTCTGCAAAGAATGAATAAATAAAACAGTAATCAAATTGTATGAAACAGAACACTTGATTGGATATTGAGATATTGTTAACAAGGTATCTCACCATAATGATTGAAGCTAGATGGGCCGTTATCAAGGAATAAACGCCTCCGCTGGCTCCAGCCAATCGCACAGTCGGATCTGTGATGGATGTGCCCAAACTGCCAGCAATCACCCCAGCCAAGTAAACCACGGCAACGCGTAATCCATTGTGCACCATCTCCAATGGTACACCCAAAACAATTTGCACCAAGATATTCACAATCAAATGGTATTTGCTGCAAAAAATAAATAAAACCAATTACGAATACGGTAATTTCGAAACGGAGCGTCTCACCCGATGTGCACAAACATGTAAGTAAGGAATCTCCAAAATTCCTTCCTTTGGTGTGGGTCATAGAGCAAAGCATTAGCTACAGGACCTGTTATTTCATTTGAATCATTACCTAAAGCCAAATCAGTTCCAAACAGTATAATCTCTATCAAAGAAATCAGTATCATTATAACTGGTGGTGGACAGCACTTGTACTGATCCTCATATCGGCCATCAACGGTAGTTTCCTCCAAAACCCTCCGCCGCTTCGGCACCAGAAATTTCACATACTGCGAATACCTTCAATAACAAATTCACAATTAGATTACCTGAAACCATGAATGAAACATTGAAATTACTTCTCTTGGACTTTAGTGAAGAATAACTCATTATCTGGATTATTGACCATGTAAAGAAATTCTTGAAAATCCAATTCACCGTCCATATTCACATCAGCACTCTTGTGTATAGCCCTAATTACATGTCTTGGTATTCCTTGTTCATAGGCAGTACTCCTTATCATGTCCCTTAACTCTCTTATGTTGATCCTCCCATCATTATTTACATCGTACTAAAACAAGATTAACATATATACAGAATATAATTTTTCGTATAAAAATGAATCACTTACTGTTTGAAAAACTTCCCTCCATCTATCTTCATTTAAATTTGTCAACTCCATAGATGTATCAGCCATTATTAGAGATCACTATAATTACACCCACAACAAATAAAACTATATGCTATTCCGCCACGCCTGAACGTAAAACTTTTTTTTTATTCGAGGAATCTTATCAAACAGTATCAATATGATTCATGTAATATATGAGATAGTCAGTGATGATACCTTAAGTTGAACTACATTAAATGAAGAAAGTCGATAATCTGTATTTATGTTACAATGCTATTAAAATTGATTGTTTTAAGTTTAATTTAACAAAACTAATTACTATTAATAAATAAGTGGCCTGAGTGCGGACACACCACACCTTGTTTAAGATATTCGTCAAAGCATTAGCCTTTTGTGGTATATTTAACTTGTCTCCAAAAAAAAATCGCTAATATTATAAGAGTTCTGCAAAAATAAAGGTAAGACAAGTTGTGTAGAGCCGGTGTTCCTAGAAAACATTAGAAGAACCTCGAACAAGTTAGGATAATATGCAACCAGTATAGTTAAGACCAGTATTTAATGAGAACCCATTTTGTTCTTAAGTCGTTGTCCGTTTATAAAGTATGTAAATGAATTGGGAGTTCTAAATTAAGATAAATACGATGGTATAATTTCAAAATGTTTGTTGACTTATTGGAGCAGAAGAAACAGACTGGCACCTCACGTTCATTCTGATATTTACATCAATTGCAATGGACCAACATTTTTATTTGTACGAAGGTGTAATCTGGTCTTTTGCTATGAAGGGCTTTGAAGATTCTGTGTTGTAAAGTTTTGATAAGGAATTATACTTATAACAATATTTGAACTGTTTTGCTGAATGAGTATTATTGGAAGTATACATCTGACGTATCAGTTGTGAAAAGAAATGCCTAAAGCATAACTCATCGCAACTCATCTACATGACGTATATAAACAAGGTGAGGAGCCAGTCTATTATGCGATCCATGGATTGAAATTCATGAAAATGCGCAAGCGCGTATTGCTTCATTTACTTTTGAGAACGGTGATGGCGTTGACTATTTTTGACGCCATTGTTTCAGAAACTTTTGTGATCTATGGTATTGTGTTCTATTTTTGTATTTCTGCAGTTATCCTAGTTTGAAAAACGATATGGGTATTTTCAGATCCACTCTAGTGCCATCTGTGTGAGAAATCTTATAATATTCACGGATTCACTTCTACGCATGCGCACTTCATGAACTTAAACTAATAGATCGCACAGGCGAACGGAACATAACAAGGTGTGCTGTGTCCAGTTGTGTCTGCATTGGTCTGCATCTAGATCACAATTATTATATGTATATATTATTAGTTTTATTAAATGAAACTTAAAACTATATATTTCAGTGGTATTGTTAATTGTAAATACAGATTTCGACTGTTTTTATTCAGTATCGTTTATCTTATGGTATGATCACAACTGTATTTGATACTACTGCTGACTCTTATAATAATAATAAAAAAAACGGTAATACATTCAGGAATTGTAGAGTAACAGCATAACTACAAGAAGGTGTAATTAGTGATCCCTGATAATGGCTGATACATCCATAGAGTTGACAAATTTAAATGAGGAGAGATGGAGAGTAGTTTTTCAAAAAGTAAATGATTCATTTTCATATGGAAATTGAACATTTTGTGTATTCATGTGAATGTTTTAGTATGACTTAAATAATGATGGGAAGATTAACAAGAGAGAGTTGAGAGACATGATAAGGAGCACTGCCTATGAACAAGACATACCAAAACATGTAGTTAAGGCTATACACAGGACTGCTGATATGAATCTGGATGGTGAATTGGATTTTCATGAGTTTCTTCACATGGTCAACAATCCAGATAATGAGTTATTCTTCAGTAAAGTCCAAGAGAAGTAATTTAAATGTTTCATTTATGGTTTCAGGTAATCTAATTGTGAATTTGCTATTGAAGGTATTCGCAGTATGTGAATTTCTTGCTGCCAAAGCGAAGGAGGCCTTTGGAGGAAACTACAGTAGATGGCCGATATGAGGATCAGTACAAATGCTGTCCACCACCAGTTATAATGATACTGATTTCTTTGATAGAGATTATACTGTTTGTGGCTGATCTGGCTTTAGGTAATGATTCAAAAGAAATAACAGGTCCTGTAGCTAATGCTTTGCTCTATGACCCACACCAAAGGAAGGAATTTTGGAGATTCCTTACTTACATGTTTGTGCACATCGGGTGAGACGCTCCGTTTCGAAATTACCGTATTCGTAATTCGTTTGATTTTGTAGCTTTTACCATTTGATTGTGAATATCTTGGTGCAAATTGTTTTGGGTGTACCACTAGAGATGGTGCACAATGGATTACGCGTTGCCGTGGTATACTTTGCTGGGGTGATTGCTGGTAGTTTGGGTACATCCATCACCGATCCAACTGTGCGATTGGCCGGAGCCAGCGGAGGCGTTTATTCTTTAATAACTGCCCATCTAGCTTCAATCATTATGGTAAGGTTATTTTCCTCTCCAAGTTTCTATACCTCTTCATTAATCACTTCATGTCTAAGAATGTAGAGATTTTTTGTTCCAACTAATAATCTACTGAAGAGTATAGTATGAGCTTGATTGTTGCAGTTAGCCTTTTCAGGTTCGCGTTGATTTGTCTACGTTAGCTATCAATTTTCAAGAGCTATAAGTTCGTTTTAGGTTTTCATAACAAGATTATTTGCATGTGATGTATCTTCTTTGGTTTCAAAATTTAAATGCGAGGGAATCTTTGATAAATTATTTTGTTATACGTCTCCGTGCACTTTAGCGTTCTGGATGAATTATTTCGCATCTCGAGAAAATTCCACACTATACCCTGATACCTGCAGATTAATGATATATCTTCTGCAAGTCAATATGTATATTACAAAAATACTCTACTAAACCACGAACACAAGCGAACAGAGCACAATCAACGCACGCTTTATGTTTTACGGTTCAAACGCTACTCCTATGTTAAGGTTCGCTATCAACACTTTATATTACAATAATCACCACTTCCGGAAGATTATTACTAATCAGGTGTTTCGGTTAAAATTTGATTACATACAGTGTTTGTTATTATTTTTCTTTCTTTGCAGAATTGGAGCGAGATGACCTATCCCATTATCCAAATGATAATATTCGTCGTGCTGATGGGCAGCGACGTGGGCACTGCCATCTACAACCGATACGTGCTGAACGCCGACGAATCCATCGGTTACGCTGCTCACTTCTTCGGCGCTTTGGCCGGTCTCCTGGTAGGCATCTTCGTGCTGCGCAACATCGAGGTCACCAGGTCGGAGAAGGTCATCCGAGCCATCGCCATCGTTGCCTTCGTCATCCTTATGGGATCAGGCATTACTATCAACATCTTCTACCAGAATTACTTTCCCGTCCAGAAGGTTTAACATGACACAGAGCCGTATTTTCTAAGTGGTGCTAGAATAATGTACAAGTATAAATGAAGAGTGCCTTATCAATACCTCAACATTCGACAACGAAAAAAAATTTCCAACACTATTTTATATAAATACTATATGTTTACAAATGCATTGTTGCAGCTACAATTCTATTTTACTGTTATGATTCAATGTTAATATTTTATTCTCTTAGAATTTAATATTCCCGCAGCTTGTTAATTTGCAACTGTTAATGTTTTTCTTTTTATTTTAATTGAAGTCTTTACTATTATTTATATTTTATTATTTATGTTTCTTCGTACTTTTTGTTCTTTGTTCTTATATCGTTGTACTTACGCACAAAGAACTGATGATGAAACGAATGTGTATTTTTATTTCATCATTGATGCTATAATTATAACTATTATTTAAAACCAAATAAAGTATTTCATGGGTCTATATCGCAAGCCCGACAACCGAAAGACCGTCTATTGAAAGCCCGACGTTCGAAATCCCAAGTGTATCGAAATCCCGAGTGTATCGAAATCCCGACTACCATAATCCCGACAATCAAAATCCCGAATATATCGAAATCCCGACAGTGATTTTTATTATTATAATTTCTACAATAACATTTTTAAATTATTCTACTATATTTTAATAGGTACGACGGTACTTAAATACTTTTAAGACCTAGGTCGATGGCTCTTTTGCTCGATTATTAATTGTTGTTATTTATTCTTAATAACAATAAATAATATTAATTATTATTGTTTTTTTTTCGTTGACTTATTCATTATAAAACTTAAGAATAAGAAATATTATATAATAAAATTAGTTTATGTTATTAACAATAAATAACAAGAATTAATAATCTTATTAAGTTTTAGATTGTCGGGATTATGGTAGTCCGGATTTTGACATAGTCGGGATTTCGGCTTGCGATTGCCACCGAAAATAGGATGAGATAAACATGCCAATTTTATTATCCGAAATTAACCGGAATTTTTAACTGAACTGTATCCGGTTCGAAATTTTAATTACGGTTAATTTCGGTTCAATTGGACTCGATTTTAAATTTTAACTAACCAATTTAAAATCGGAACTGAACCGAAATTTTTAGACGAACCAAAACCGAAGCTGGTACGATAAACAATTACATGGAACGTAACCGTAAACTTGAACAAAATTAATTTCGGTTCGACTCCGATTTATGTAGGCCAACACAAAGGCGTATCTATAAAATATTTTATTTTGTCAGTTGGTAATCTATAAAATTTGCGATGTTGTGGATTTCGTTAAAATCACTTTTGTTTTGGACCATCTCAAAGTTATTTGGTAGTCCAAATCTTATAATATTTTAATGTAATATAAATTGTAATAATTTCAAATATCAATATTATGATAACACGTTTTTAAGTTTCATAAATATAGTTATGGCAACACTGTAAAAATCTTCGAGTAAACGCGGATTGTCAGATTGTTTCGTTTGTTTACGCTTTGCTTTCTTATAAGTTTATTAATGTCAAATATAACAATATTTAGTTTAGTGTGTGAATGAATTGTGTGTGATGTCGAAGGAATTCATTAGCAGTTCTGCACAGAATGTTGCAAGTTCATCGGTTGTTATTGTTTTGGATGATGATGAGCAGCCGGGTAATATAATTTAACCTTGTTTTCTTTTTTTTTTTTCGAAATTCAAATAACTTCATTCATTGGCGTTCATCAATACGTACAGTTGCAATAACATTCGACAGACCTTAACGTTTTGAGGTTGACATCTAAAGTTAATACTTGCATGTTGTTCAAATAATATTGCCAGTGTTACTGTAATGATTTATGTTTTGTTTTGTTCCAGCTGTAATTGATCTTGTTGGTCAAGCTCCAGCAGGTGATCGAAAATGCATCAATTACTCATGTCAAAGTGGTATCAATCTCATCAATCCACCTAACTTCTGTTTGTCTTACTACAGAGTTAAAAATGATACAAGCAAGAAACAAATGATTTGCATGGAATGCTTTCATCTGGCAGTGCAAACCTTTGATATCCTCTGTCAGTCACTTACTGATGATGATGGTGACATTATGGAAGTGGACATTCCTGTAAGGGATGAGACTGTTGCAATTGATGATTCAGATAGTGATGGCGAGGGGAAGGAACCAGATGTATTAATAGATGATGAAACTATGAAAATGCTTGAAGAGAATTTCGATGATGTCCTTAACAATGCATTGAAAACAGTTAAGTATGAGCAAAAAGTGGAAAAGGCTATTGATACATTGAAGAAAAAGTATGAAGCCAACAATGGTAAGTTTACCTTTGTAATAATAACATAATTTTTAATTGTACAAGTTATTTTTAGACTCTTATACGGAACTCAAAACTATGATTGATAGTATCAGAAAAGAAGTTGATTCAATGCTCTTTGGATTATATAAAACAATGAAGCCTACTAACGAGATTTTGCCAGAATTGATTATTGAAGAGAAAACTCTAAGGGTATATGAAAATGTTTCAAAGAAATCTGGTACATATGAAGCATTTCTATGCAAGAATGTTACAATTATTATGAATATTTTAGATGGGTGTCAAACTGAGGTCAGAATTCAAACTAGAAGTAAGAGTATAGCAGCTACAAGTAATGCTGACATGAAACCTGATGTAACAGAGCATACACCTTTAGAACCACCTGCTGATTTACCTATCAGAACGATTCTTGAAAAACCACCATTAATAATAGGTATGATATTGGAAAAGCTCATTGGGTTAATAAAGTAAGGGATATTTCCGTAGGTAATCATTATTACGTGAAGAAAAACTCGAATTTATCATCCTGGATTAAAGTTACATTGGATAAAATACTGGGGCCGAACAACGGGACGCAGGTTTTTCAGGTGGTTCGCGAAACGAGTGGATCTGGACTTACGCAAAGACGAACCGTGAACGGAAAGGAGATTGCTTACTCCGAGAAGTCTAACGTGATGTTGGACGTGGGGAAAAGGGTGATTGCTCTTTTTAAGGAATTTGGAGATCTGAAATCATCAAAAAGGGATGCATACTACCCGGGGGTGGTTGGAGAGTTTCCAACGCAGCATAACAAATACCGTTATCTTATATTCTTCGACGATGGTTACGCGCACTACGTGCATTACAACAATGTCTTTCTCGTTTACCATCAAAACGACAGCGTCTGGGAGGACGTCAACACTGATTCGATGGCTTTTATCAGGAAGTATGTAACGGAATATCCCAATAGGTCGATGGTCAAACTGCAAAAGAACCAAGTGTTCCGTACAGAATTCAGATCCAGATGGTATATGACCACCGTTCTGAATATAGACTGTTCGCTGGCCCAAATATACTTCGAATCACTGAAGAGGGTGGAATGGATATACCGAGGTTCGAGGCGTTTCAACATAATGTACAAAGAGTTACAGGCGACCGACAGCAGATTGCAAAACAGACAGCGTCACCATAGATCTGCTTACATTCAAGCGAATTCAGGGAAAACACCTTACGTGCAGTACACTAGGGACGATGATGTTATTTGCGTAGATGATACTGCAAAAACAGAAATTAGGTCCGTGGCGAAGAAAAGCACACGACCACCATGCACAATTGATCCTAAACCTATCTTGCCTGAAGCCAAGGACATTACCCTAAAACCTGAAAATCGTCCGCCAGGAAAGATCGTGGTATGTTTTATGAAACATTAATTTATGTTTGTATAATAAATTAAATACTATATCATTTCTCAGTACTACACACCAAAAAGGCAAAATCCGTCGATGAAGATTTACAAGTTGCATCAGTGCAACGAATCGTGCCAACAAGAGATGATCACATCACTGAGCCGTCTTAAAGGTTACGGACCACTGGCAAAACCTTTGCTCTGCGGATTTTACCGTTTGCATAACAAAGTGAAGGGTAGGAAACCATCGGTGGTTTACAAGACGCCTTGTGGTCGAGTCGTTAGAAATATGCCCGAATTACATAATTACTTACAAGAGATAAAATCCGACTTGACTGTTGACTTGTTCTCCTTCGACTATTACGTCCGCTGCTTGGCGGAGTTCATTTTAGAGCCTAATTCCCCGGTTATTAAGGATCTTTCGACTGGTTTCGAGGATATACCAATTCCAGTCGTAAACTACGTGGACAATGAATTGAACAACTTCGTTAATTATTCGACAACTCGAATGCCAATGGAAGGCGTCAATCTTAACTTGGATACGGATTTCTTAGTTGGATGCGATTGTGAAGACGACTGTTCGGTAATGAAGCAATCACTTCAAGTATATCAATGTTTATATCTTTGTTTTTTTTTTGTCTGTTTTAGGATAAAAGTAAATGCAGTTGCTGGCAATTAACCTTACAAGGAACTAAATATTTGAACAAAACCAAGACTTCAATAGGATATAATTACAGGCGACTGAACGAGCCCGTTTTCACCGGTATTTACGAATGCAATTCGATGTACGTTCAAAGCTGACAACGTTAAGACAATATTTTTTTGATTACATTCAATTTTCAGGTGCAAATGTTCGAAAACTTGTTTGAATCGAGTCGTCCAAAATCCTCTTCAACACAAACTGCAGGTCTTCAAGACGGTCAATCGCGGCTGGGGCATTCGGTGCATAAATGACATTCCTCAAGGCTCATTCATTTGTATCTACGCAGGAGCTTTGCTCACCGAGCAAATGGCCAACGAGGTTTGAATAAAGTATATTTACCAGTTTCGTGAAAGTATTTTTATGTGTTTGTATTCAGGGTGGCAAAAATTACGGTGACGAGTATTTAGCTGAGCTCGATTATATTGAGTCGGTGGAAGGCTTCAAAGAAGACTATGAACACGAGGCGTACACCAGCGACAAGGACTCCGAGGACGAAGAAGGCTCTAGGAATGAAACGGCCAAGCAACGTAACCATGACGAAGACTTCACACCGGCAATGGAAGATAGCGATGATTCCCTAGAATCGTTAAATTTATGGTTAGTTGTTAATCTATTATCAATTATGTTGCAAATTCTAATGGGAAGAATGATGGATAATTTTATCATTCTAGGACACGGTTAAGAAGGGCAGCAGCACAATATAAAAACGATCCAGCCCCAGCACCTAAGAAGGTGGCATCCACATCTAAAATGGATGTCGATGAAACTGTGACTATAAGTGACGATGAAGATGGTAGTATTGTTAAAAGATGTCTGTTATGAAAGAACTTAATTGTATTTTGTTGTATGCAGTGCGGGAACCTTCGAGCTTCAACCCTGCAGAAACCGTAGAATCTAAAGTCGAATACAAATCGGTGAGGGAAATGTTTGGAAGCGATGAGTGTGTATATATTATGGATGCTAAGAATACCGGAAACATTGGAAGATATTTAAATGTATGTACATTTCACAACTTTGACATTTTTACTATATACGTTTGATTTGCACAAGTTAATATCGCGATGTTTAATACGATTAAAATAATTTGCAGCATTCCTGTACTCCGAATATCTTCGTGCAGAATGTATTCGTGGACACGCACGATGTCCGATTTCCTTGGGTCTCCTTCTTTGCAATCAATTACATAAGGGCCGGCACCGAACTCACATGGAACTACAATTACGACATCGGCAGCGTTCCTGGTAAAGTTATGTATTGTCGTTGCGGTTCGTCCGAATGCAAAGGTCGTTTGCTTTAAACAGTAATCTCTGAACTGGTGGAAAATTGTAATTTCCAATATTTTATTTATTATTATAGGGAATAAACTCGAGTTGATTTTATGAATATAAGTTTTCTTCTGTTATGATAATAAAATGTTTATGGACAAATGCTTTATAATTATTTTTATAAAAGTGGAACGTCGATGGCACTTTGGAATGAACAACAAAATGAGCGCAGAGGAAGGAATGTAGAGAACATCTGTATAGGGGGTGTCCCAACAAGAGTGGTAAATCTATTTTCTAAACAAAAATCCAAGCCTGTATTGCTGAAGAAATTCAGCCACAGTTATAGCAAACCGTGATTGCTAATTTCGTCAAAAGAACATAATTGTGTGCGGAAGATATGTGTTGTTCCATACATAATTCCGTCTACGTACTTTACGGTTAAATTAAAGAATGTGTTTTATTTAACATTAAATTTTCCACTCTTGTTGGGAAAGGGGACACCATATATATATGAAATCTGATGATCGTAATCGATTTCAGTGAATGCATAAAATATCTAAAAATTCAACAAATATTTTAATTTAAAAATAGAAGAGATAATTGTGAAAAAATGTAGAATAATTCAAGTTTTCTTAATCATTTCGTATAATCATTTCATGTCAATAAAAATGTTTGTTTTGCTTTCAAATTCGTTGCGTCCGCGTTTTCATATCACATTACGTTTTCTTCTATCATACAATTTAAAATACATTTTAAAGCTAAGTAGTTATAACAGATTACTTAATGATCGCCTTTTCCTGGTGTTCACTTTAGAAACTGGAGCACTGACGATATCTTGTGATACCAGCCAGGGTGAGAGATTGCTGAAACTTAGAGTCACTGCGTTCCGATTGCTGTCCTCTGTGTCGTATTCGTTTGCCAATGAACCATCGATCTGTTTCAATCAAATTAATATAATGAATTGTTGTATTTGCCAGCAGACATGAAGATAGATAGATACAATAATAAGAAGCACACGTAAAGCGGATTTACCTCAGACTCTGTTACGATCGCATCCATTTGAAAGGGATTGCTGGAGAGAAAAGGATTTGCTTCGTGGAAAGGATCGGTGGTGGGCGTTGTGACGAAGGGGTTCGAGTTCTTCGGAGGTTCGTCAATAGCTTCATCGAAACATGGCAAGTTGCTTTCTTCTCGCCCAGCATTCCAATTTACCACAGTCTGATTGTCCGAAGTAGGTGACTGTTACCGGCGTGGTCTATCTCTTCCTCTCTTCGACGAGGTCCTGGTTATTCGGCGGCGCAGGACCACTTACGGACAACGTCAATTTGTCGCCGCCCTAATGTTGTTAGCAAATTGCAATACAGAATCAAGAGAGAACGACACAAGCGTGTATACTTACGACATGAAGGTGGCTGCATTGAGAGAATTCATATTCTCCTCGTCATTATTCTTCGGCGCCCACGAACATCTGATTCATCAGCTTCGTAACGTTTACGTTCAACTCATCCTCTGCTTTCGCTACAAACAACCACGTAATTGTAAAACATTACAATTTAATTGATTTCTTCAAGTACTAACCTTTCAGTATATTGCATTTAAATTGATTCCGAGGTATCGGTTGTGCACCGCCCATCCGAGCTGAAAGCGTCGGACTGATGGGTGGATAAGATGCTGGCGTTGTTGCACTGTTCCTTTTCAGTGTGCCGTTTTTGCTACTGCTCATCGATAGAACGGGACTTAAAGGAAAAGTATTATTACAAATTGTACTTTTCTTATAAAAACTTACCTATAGGAATTAACAGTGGGCGTGAGAGTCTTCGTGTTGTCGTTCGAAACTTCGAAATAGTAAGGCTCGCTTTCGGTAGCAACGGTGGCATTCGATGCCATTGAACGTTCGCTGTATTACCTCGACGAAGGTTATATGGAATCAGCATGTTTCGGAACCTCTTGTGAAGTCTCCGTGATTTGCAACGTTCCGGAATTTTGTTGTTCCCGTAACTTCTCCCGAAGAACGTGGCTTGCCTCCTTCTGTACCTGATCATATCATATAACAAACTTTTGGTATGCAATCTCCGTAAATCGAATTGTAATAAATGTACCTTTGGCTCGGTCTTCTTTCGAGCTGCACCACTCGCCGTGGACGACTTTGATGCGTACTCTGATACTCGGTTTGACCAGAATACCCAGAACCTACCCGGAAAAAGTTTTGGCAAGCCAATGGACCTTTAACAGGCGCTTGAAGTCTGAAGAAACCGTGATGCTACACAGCGCATTTCCACAAATGCTTACAGGCCTTCTCATTGTGCAACCTGCATCATGGATACATTATAATCAGAAACAGGAAATTAAAAAAATTGAGATCACGAATTGCATAGCTCTCTGAATATTTCTGTCTGTAATTTTTAAAACTTTCTGCAATGAAAAATGTTTTTTTCTTCCGCCTGCTTCTTCCCTCTAGGAAAAGCCTCATCCATGCTTCCATTTAGCTGCGTCCTGTCGACGCATTACGCCAATTGCAATCTGCATTGTAGTGGAAAGTTTTGAGGATAGGTGGAGTACGAATCGGGATCCCGGCGATTCAGACGAGATGTTGGGAGGACCTCGTATGCAATGAAATAATATTTTGTAATTAGGTGGAGCGTGGGATCTTTAAAATCGTTATTTAAGCGTTACGCGTAATATTGTAGACAGCTGTGTCCGGCGATGCGTGTTAAAAGAAATGTACAATTGAAATGTTGTACACTACACTTCTTATATTTGTCGCTGCATATGCTACAATACTGAATCTTACGGTTCTTCCGAGCACAAGCGGAAGTAAATGAATCACGTAAGATATTCGTGTCGAAACAAATGACCGTTTTCTTACTCCGTCATTATTTTCTAATTATCGAACGACCACAATTCGAAATTAATAATTCATTCATTCAAATTACTGACCTGAAGACGAAAATGTGATCCTCCTGTCGCCCAGCGTCATCATCCTCGACAACAACCAACGTCAATTTCTTCTTTTTGAAATTCAATTTTCCGATCTTCGGTCACGAGAAAAGTCCAATTTTCTGCCCGTTCTCGAACACCAGAATTCCAGTTGGAGTAAGACCCAACCTGTACGTCTGCGCCCGCACGTGCATTTCCACAGGTTGTATTCAAGAGTTCGGGAACAGTTTTCGCACAGAGTGGTCCATCCTGCAAACCGTCGCACACACAGTTTATCTTCTGCGTGTGCCAAGCGCGTGCCGATCCTGGAAACCCTGAAAACTATTCACTCGTGATCGCATCAGTTCCAGTGTTTAACACCATTTTTTCTGTGAGAAGAAATCCATTTTCCATTATCTCCGTGTCCATCAATACTAACAAACTTCTTCTGTAAGTCAAGTTTTAAATTACTTTTTCATATATTTTTTTCGACAACTTTTATAAATAGTAATTGTATTTTTTTGCAATTACCGATAAAATTTAAACAAGAAAATATCTTTTCTTTTCCCTTTGGCCAACCTATTAATATATATTTTTTTATTGTATGTTAAAATTTATTTATGTATAAATTGTACTTTTTCTTCTTCTTCTTCTTCTTATGTATTGATGTTTGGCCAATAAATTATTATTATTTTCTTTTATTCATTTATATGAATAATTTATAATATTAATTATTGATTAATATTTACAATTACTGATGAAATTTATTTTCATTACATTATTTCTTCAAAAAAAGGGCGAAACTACTGATATTTTATCATCATTCCATTAACGTATTTTCAAAAGTATAAAAAATTTGATTATAAATTTCTAGTAAGCTTATGGCTATTATTAGTATATTATTTACTTTGTAAGTTACTTCTTTAGTATTGCTATTTGTTTAAACAGCTTTGAAAAAAAAAACAATTACAATTTTATATTCAATAACTCTTAAATATTTCTTTTTCACGTAATAATTATAACATTTATTTCTTGTTTCGACCAAACAGCTATCGATACAAGTTCTTCTGTCTCTTTTACACATTTAATTGCAAATAATTAGTTTATTTTCATTGCATCACTAACGAACTGATAAATAAGTAAAAGGTAAATAAATTAAGATAAATATTCTACATTGACTGAAAATGTCCCAATTAATGATTTTGTTATTATTAATTAAGTGTCTATTTATAGTGGAATACGAAGATCTCGTCCTCAACGTTTTACTAAAATAGATTTAATTGCTTTAATTGGGACCATTACTCAAATAACTTCTGATTGAGAGTAAATACAAGAAAGAAAGAAAAATAAACAAATATAAATATACAGAGTTTGCTTCACATTCAGGTTTCAATATAGAATTACAATTACTTGAAGAAGATTCTACTCAAGGCGACGCAAAATTATTACGGAGAACATTGGAAATAATTATTTTCGACTTAAACAGTTATGAAAATAAGCGTAGCGCATCTTTTTAGTGATTATGAAAGTGAAATAAGTCAAAAATCTAAAAAAAAAAGAGTTTATCAGTTATTTTACTATGCATTTATTTGAATTATCAAATTTAGAAAATTGTAAAAATTAAACAAAATTCAGTTAATATTATTATGAACCAATGAAAATAAGCTATTATAGGTAGAACGAATTTATTTCAACAAAACTAGAAGCTTCAATAATAAGAAGATACTGACGGAAAAACTGTCTCTTAGTTGAAAATTCAGTGTATGATGTTTTAAAAAATCCTCCATATTAAATGTTCTACAAAATCTGCTTTGACGATGATAACGAATTCCAAGTTTTAGATCTTTCTCCTAAAAGGGAAATGCCAAAAATATATGGAAATATCACATTACTTCGATTTTATACAACGATTAGACCAATATCAGAAAAAAACATTACTATCCTACATGCTGCGAATTTTCCATTTTGAACATTTAGCAAATCCTAAAATTCTTACGGAACATCTTGTTTCTTTAAAAAAATGAGATAAAACATTAATTATTTATTTATTAAGTATATCATTCCAGGTTTCCATGGAACACTTATTATGTTTCCTTGTATTTGGGAAATCTTTAAGTTATTCAAGCTTTAAAAATCACATCACATATAAGCTTTACACAAAATATAAAAATCATATAAAATGTTTACTAAATATTTTCAGAAAGACCATAGCTCTTTTGTAATAGTTACTATTTCAATTCTCGCTCAACGAGTATTACGAGTGTAATACTTCTTTTTATTCTTCAAAAAAAAAAAAACATTCCGAAATTTGTTTTGTATAGAAATTTATCATGGACATTTGTATTGATTATACGAGAGGATTTAAATAGGAATCGTAAAATATAAAAACCCAAAAAAAAATTGAGCAGATATATGGAAGCGGTCCATCATATCGAAGCTATTATTATTGGAACGCAATGTTTCATATGAAATCGTGTTCAAAATAATCCTTAATAGTTGAAATCAATAATACCACTTGTTTGCAACATTTATCATTTTTTACAATTTATATCTGAATAACGAAATATTTATTTTTTTTTTCAATATTTATATATATATTTTTTTAAGAAATACAATAAAAATACCTGTTTTTGTACGGTCCATTTTTATGTGATATATTTGTGCGATTTTTTTTGTGCGGTTTTTTTATGCGGTATATAAAATCCAACCATTGGCAACATTGTAATGTTTTCTATCAGTGTGCATATATACAGTCTTTTTTTTGTAGAGGAGAGGAAACCTTACGTAGGGACCACAGGTGGAGTCGTGGTACTGTGGGATTCTTACCGCACTAAAACCTCTGCTCTTCTTCGTCAGCTTACAGGACCTGTATCACTGTACTCCTCTGCGAAGCTGATTGTCTTTGCTTGTTAGGCACTTCACTTGGATCATGTTAATGCTGGCCTCCACTGCCACTGTCCTCGTAGGAACTGCCTGCAGTCTCCGCTCGTCTTCTTCTTTACTAAGTAGCACCTCTGATACGTACGCCGCTACAATATCTTAGCTCTCCGTACTCTTCAGCATTTCGATGACAACATTTTCCGGCTCCAATTCTGCCTCCGCCTCGTGTTTCCTTCCAAGCCATCTGCAGCACCTAAAAAGCGTGTGCTATCGTCCTCCTCACAGGACTAGCAACTTTCGTCTTCCTTCTTTACGATAAAGAGCCGCGTACAGCATATTAGATTGTGCCACTACTCCTAGCAATCTTCGGTACACCCTTGTTGTGCATCAACCTGCTTACAGCTGTAGTTGTTTTTGCTGTTCGGATGCCTACTGCCCTGATGTGCTGGGCGTAGGTCAGGCTGCTGTCAATGGAGACCCCCAGGTATTTAATGACTTTCTTCGGTATTATTTCTTTGCCTGATATTGTAAATTTTATTGGTCTTATTTTCCTCCTTCCGATCAGTAGTACCGCTTCTGTTTTTACTGGCGAGAGTGTCAGGCCTCTCTCTGACATCCAGATCTGGATGTTGCATGTGACTATGTTTGCCTTTTCAGTGAGTTCCTCTTCTATCTTTGCTACCATCACTACTGCCAAGTCATCCGCATATCCAATTACTGTTATGTCTACCGGTATACACAGCATGCTCAAACGATTCTGTTGAACCAATTCATCAAAAGAAGATGAGCGTTTTGAATTAACACGAGTAGCAGTGAATTATGTATGAATTCCGTATGTAAATGGAAAATTAAATGTTTTTATAATCTATCCATGTGTAATTTAATTATTTATTTTGTTTGGATGCACTTTTTCATGTATTTCGTAATTCTTTGACGTATTTTCTAAGCGCGCTTCTCTAATGTATTGTACAAAGTTATTTGTTATATGTAAGAATTTATGAAAATTTCGAAAAAAATTTACGATTTAACTTAATAAAGAAGAAGAATATATATAAAATAATCGAAGAATGCGCCACGATATTAAAAATAGTCTAAAAAAAAACGAAAAGCTGTTTATTTTGAAAGGTAATTTTGACAGCGCAAGAAAAATAAAACGTCGATCTAATTAATATCGAATTGAAATGTAAGTTTTACAAATAATTATCGATCAGTTCAATGCATGTTTACATACTGTCCAGATGTTTCCTGTGGTGAGGGTATCGGTTTCGAGGGCCGCTAAGCTGGCCCAACGCAATCAAATAAGCAATTCCCAGAAACGCGGAATCCTGTCGGGACCACCAAGAGTGCGCATAGGATTGCCCATGAAGATTATCCACGGCCTGGTCCAGAGTATAACCTACATTGCGTATCCATTTTTCGTGTTTGCCAATTTGAAAAATTACCGTCAGGATTGATGAGAATGAAGGTGTTCATTCCATTTCATTTTTGTACATTTGGCATTACTATTTCTGAAGTTCAATTAAAAGGTTAACTGTCAATGTATACAACACGATTTTTTATTTGTAACTCTAAACTCTATTCTTGCTAAAAAAAACTTGTTTCATTGATTTAATGAAATTACTTGAAAAGCGTTGCATTAATTTCATGTTAAACGAATACATTTTAATTTATGTTGTCTCAACTTTCTGAACTAGCCTTAATCTCTCAATTATTACAAACTTTTAAGAGCATTATAGGATTACGAAGTGGACCCGTACATTTACAAAATGAAAATGCACAGAAGAACACTTTTCACCATTTTTTTGTAATTGACATCTCCTTCAATTATATCTCTATATAATTTAACTGATAATAAAGAGGTTCTCAATACAATTTGATTTTTATGGATAACGTCGTTTGGCACATACCAGGGAGTTTGCATTAGAGTACGCAGACATTTTGATTGAAAACGCTGAATTATGTCAATGTTCGAGTTGCTCGCTATTCTCGAAAGCTGGATGCCAAAGGTTCACACCGGTTTTAACACTGCCTTATATATTAAAATTTTATTTTCCAGTATAATTTAGCGAATTTGATTCCTAGTTGCTTCCGTTTAGTTGTGATTGCTTTTTTTCCATGTGAGCCTGTGATCTAAAGTTATACCTAGGTATTTGTGATCATCAGCTTCTAGGATAACATTATTATTTGAAGTAACTGGAGGACAGGATCCTTTTTTAGGGTGAATGTCTAGATCTAGATTTTGGGGGTCCCAGTACACTTCCCTGTGGAATGCCTGATTTCATTGGAAATAACTCTTTCATTTGAAAGAATATTTCGATCATTCAATTATTACAAACTTTTAACAGCATTACAAACTTGACTAGTAACATTTATAATTTGAATATTAATTACTGAAAGACTTTATCATATTCAATTTAACTTTTATTATAAATACATAATTGAGTTACACGGAGTCGAAAATAGCATGGTCAGAAAATGCGACAACCCTGATATAATAGTGTTCTTCAATTGAATGGTTTCTTTACATTATATTATGCTTTTTCATAAATCACTTTTCGCCTAAATCTTGC